TACCTCTTAGATGTGAATTAATACAAACTTCTAGTAAGTTTTATAGAGTCGCATTCCCGCACCCAAATAATTCGGACGGGGGAAAAATGATTTGTGTGTGGTTGCGGACAACACAATGTCTTTTAGAGGATGACGACTTGTTACTACTGCATTCGATTTCGCTTTATTGAATAAAGCTCTTGGCTAATGTAAAGCTTATAACTCAGGTTATTTGGATGATTTTGTTTAAAACTTATGAAGTAGTCTATGGTTTTCAATCGTGCTCACTAGTTTTTATGCATGTAATGTAATTTAACACTCTTAGCTGGTATTGGCCCGGTACATTCCGTTCTTTTTTTTTGCGCTTTTAGAAGCGTTTTTTGCGATAATCCGCAAGGTTAATGTGTCTAGGGTATGGAGACCAAAGATCTCAAGGGATTTCTTTACGGATGGTTGGGTAAGCAGAAGATTGGCGCCCCACAATATACCGTTAATCCTGTAACCCGTGGAGGAATTCAACGCTTTAGATGTGAACTTCGCGTACCTGGTCACTCCTACATCGGACTTGGGAATTCGCTCAATAAGAAGGTAAGAAATAGTTTTGCACATCGGTTTCGGTTCTACTTTTAACTAAAGAATTTTTCACAAGTTAGACGATGTAAGTGATATTAGCTCCCCTTTCAATGCCAATCCATACATTTCACCGTATGTGCCTTGATTAGGATGCTGCCACGAATGCTGCTATGGATTTTTGCCATTACCTTGTTCGCCAGGGATTGCTGAAGGCTTCTGATGTTCCTGCGCTAGAGGTAAGCTTTTTTTCTAAATGTGTTTAGCACACTGTTTGTCAATGCTATGTATTGTTTTGATTGATTATTTTTCGTCTAATGTCATTCTTAGGCTTCTTCTTTGGAAGCGACAACAGGTACCGCAAATGGAGCTGAGATCAGTGGTGAACGGGGTTCGTTCTTTAAGAATGACTCAAGCAGCGGAAGTGGAAGCGCGCAGCAGATAGGAGTGAGTACTTTAGAAATTAAATACTAACATTTATTTGAGGATATAGCGTTTAGAGGTCAATGAATGATCGAATGTTATGAATTATAACGGTATATATCGTCTATAAGTATCACAGTTAAAGTATATGTCAATTATTGCATAATCACATACGCATCTCATAAAGAGCTTTAGTGTTTTGTAAAAACGTCAATTTTTGCTACTTGACTTTTATAATTCTATATTTCCCACTGGAACTTAGGTTTTTTTTCCATATTAGCCCTTTTTTGAGACCCAAACTAAAGAGAAGTCAACTATTTTCTTCTTAGGGAAACACGGTTCCATGGAGTAGAGCTCCACAGACAGCTCACGACGCCTACGTTAGTCAGAAAGCTGAAGAGATAGCTCAGGTAATCTCACACTGTTTTTTAAATTTTTTGTAATCTGTAAATCGAAGCAGTAAAGGCGCTTTGTACTTTCTACAACTCTGGTGGCGTAGCAGGTATCTTACACTAATTAAAAACTTTAATGTTGACTTTTAATGTATGACACCTCCTTGATATCTTTCCTATTTTAGTCCGAGTCTGTCGACCTAAAAGCCGAAATTCATGGCGGCTGGACGATGGACAATAGCAAACAAGCGCTCAATGAGTTTTTGCAAAAGATGCGTCAGCCAAGTATTGCCTACAATACTCATCTCAGAGAAGCGAACAACTGCAGGTAATGCTATCTATCTTTAGTGTCTCTGATCTTTCAGCCATATTAATTTTATTTTCAGGACTTATGTCGCTGAAGCCTCTATATTCGTACCACAGCTACGAAGACGTAAGTTTTCCTTCTATAAAAAATCGTCAGATGCATACATTTATGGCTTATATAATACTTAAGAACTATCTGGAAGAGGCCAGGGATCATCAAAGAAAGTTGCTGAATCCATCTGTTCTATGGGAATTGTAAGGCAATTGTTCCATCTTGGAATTTTGGCTGAGTTTAAAGGTGAACGAAAGAAAACCACGGCAACTACGGTAGGATTTCGCTGAAAATATTTGGTCTATATTAATTTCCAAACATTTTCTCATTTTTCAGCTGCCTGAGATTCCCATTTCCGTGCCGCATGTATTAGCTGAACGAGTAAAAGCCTTTGTGGCAAGCTCTGGTGTTCAGCCTGTTTCTATAGGACCAGAAGAGAAGCCGACATCGGAAGTTCCTAAGTCTATCCTTACGAACATAAAACTTGATGAATTCCCTGAATCTCAGGTAATTTTATTTTTTCATCTAGTTGACTAAAGTTTATGCAAGCACGTTATAGGTGATGCCACCTGGAAATATCTCATGGGCACCTCCAATGCAGAACTGGAACGCTTGGCGCGCTAGTAACATCGATGAACCTCCTCTAGCGTTTGTGAGTGCAAAATCTTTTTATACAAGCTGGCTTACGAGTTGTCACGTGAAATTGCCTTTCAGATGTCTCTATCTGAAATAAGCGCAAAGTTGAAAGAAATGGAAGATGCAAAGCCAAGAAATTCTACCATGGCAAAAACTCGTGAAGACTTGCCTGTTTCTCAGTTTAAAGATGAGATTCTACGTGTTGTAAGAGAGAATCCAGTAACGCTCATCAAGGGAGAGACTGGATGTGGTAAAAGTACACAGGTAAAACATGAACTTATTTCCTTTTTTTCTCTTGATTTGAAGCTTTACTCTTTAAGGTAGTGCAATATCTACAAGAATCATTTGTACGATCGAGCAGAGGAGCAGAATTCAATGCGTTCGTTTCACAACCTCGCCGCATCTCAGCGATTTCACTTGCTGAAAGAGTAGCCGCTGAAATGGGAGAGGAATTGGGTGAATCAGTTGGTTATGGTGTTAGGTACGGATATTCATTTTGGCTGCGTTTTGTATGCAATTTTTTCTCTGTTTTTTTTTCTATGTTGGCTTTCGATCTTGAACTAAACATTTGAACTCTAATGGTAGTAATGACATTAAACTCATGTCTATGTCTAGCAAGATAATCTATGACGAAACAGATAAAACGCCTGTATCTGTAGATTTGACGGAGTTTCACCTCGGCCTTATGGTGCCATCCTCTTCTGCACAGTAGGTGTACTGCTTAGAAAGATGGAGAGTGGACTTCGCGGCATATCTCACATAATTATTGACGAAATCCATGAAAGAGATGTGAATGTGAGTTTTTTTGAATTCCTGTATTGTCGAGCAGTTCTTTGTATGTTCACTCTCTTCATTTTTAGACCGATTTTATCTTAATTGTGCTGAGAGAAATGGTAAAAGAGTATCGCGATCTTCGCGTAATTTTAATGTCTGCTACTATTGATACAAGGATGTTTATAGAATTTTTTGGTAATTGTCCAGTAATCGAAATGCATGGACGAACATTTCCAGTGCAACGTGAGCTTGAAGTTTCAATTTTGATTTAAGGCCATCTTGTTGCCTCATCAATCATGCATCTTATTGTACTTGTACAAAAGAGAATAAAAGCAGGGAGGGTATCCGCAAATATCAATCATGTTATCCTTAGATTTCTTCCTCGAGGATGTTATTGAAATGCTCAAGTATATGCCTCCTGCTTTGGAAAAGAAAAGAAAGGAAGATGCAGATGTAGAAGTTGACGAAAAGGTATGCTTTGATATAATTATGCATAAACC